TATGATTTCATCCTGAGGACAAAAACTCAGACAAATGTGGAAGTCTGTCGAGATCCAAGGGCTCTTTTAATAAACCTAAGCCAAATACTCATATTTAGTAATGACACTAAGAATCAAGGAATTTTACAATGAAAGGTACGCACTGCTTATACTCTATGGATAACTTAAACAGCTTTAACAGTCTCAAATTCATGTCTGATTTAGCCTTTACCCAAAGTATTGGAGGCTCAATGGATCAGGCATAGAAGTATTTCAGCCTGGGACACTGGGAGTGTATCTCTGAAGGCAGACAGGATACTGCTTTTCTATGACGTGGAAAACACCAAGTGGTCTGCAGAGATTTTTCAAGTGCAAAAATAAATGCAGAAGTTTTACCTGCTAGGGAAAATAGCATAAAGAGGTGATACCCTGCTTGTACTCCATGGCTCTCAGGTGTTTGGGGCTGGTTTATAGGTCCTCCAAAGGTAAGGAGTGCTTGCGGGACACTACCATCTCCAAAGAAAGAGACAGACCACTCAAACACTCACGTTTGCATGAGACCAAAGTATTCTTGTTATCTTCAGTCCCTCTTTTCAATTTAACAAGCAGTGAAGAGACATGATGTTACCATGACCATTCCAGAGTGGCTTACAAGCAGCAGGCAGCTGTATATATGAACAAGTCTCAGCATCTTGGCTGTGGGGTCAGGATTGGTGTGGGCAAAGGAATATCCTTGCTACCTTTTCTCTCTTCTTCCTGGAAAGTGCATATTTATGCAGCAGGGGTAGTGGGAAATACTTTGAATTTCTCATGTATTCTTTTCTCTGGTCGCTGTAATGTTGTTCATTATTTCTTCTCACTTGACTGGAATTCTGCAGTTGGCAGAAATGTAATGAGAAATTTACTCTTGTGAGGGCATTAGGTAAGAAAAAAGATAGTTTTCAAAAGGATCTCATAGATGAGATCCTGAAACCATGTTTGCATAACTTTCAATGTTTTGCCACATTGTTTATCCTTAGTGAAGTGTAAAACTGAAGTACATCAGTGTTGCCTAGGAATCAGTATGAGGCAGCTAAGACAATTTGTTAGTATTCACTTCTTCCCTTACAGCACTTGTGCGTATTTGTCTATGGAAAACTACAGTGAACTTTTCAAAACAGTACAATTATTTAACTGTACCGACACCATGTTTTTCTTTGGAAAGAAGGAAATGTGTTTCAGACTCAAATAAAGACTGTCATCCATGTCCCTGCTTTTACTATAGTTCATTGTTCATGCTGTGGCACTGAAAAAATCCTTATATTTTTAAAGTTAATATGAAATACAAGAAAAATCATGTGTCTCTGTAATGCTCTCTCTCTTCTCTTTACCTTAACAAAATACTATTTAACATGCCTCATATCTGAAGTATTTTTAGAGACATAACCAAGACTGTCAGCTGAAAAGTGCTGTTATGGTTTGTGGTTGGTTCATTTTCTTGGCTAAACTCAGGTATGGCTTTGGTGTTGCAGCTAGAATTACAACTGAACACAGAAAAACCCTATTAAGTTCTTTTAAGAATAAAATAAATCTGAAATAAATAAATATTGTAATATCGTTTGAATTTGATGTTCATCTTATTGAGTCTCTGTTGGCATAAATGCATCTCTACTTTGGTCTGGTTTCAGTCTAGTGGTTTACTTGGGTCAAATACTGATGAAAAGCTCTGGGCTAAAAATCCCAGACTCACAAGGATCACATTCTGGCCTCACTAACAGCAGTGGGAATTTTGTAATTTAGCCTCAGAATCCAAATTTTGTGCAGCTTTGCAAAACAGCATCCAGTAAATAACTATGCTTTCTTTCCACGTGGTATCTTGCTTCCTTTCCATCTTCCTCTTTATTAATTAATCTGAAAATCTTGAACCTGCTTCAGAAACCCTTCCTGACAAAGGCCCTTGGTTACTCCCTCTCAGCAAGAGCTCTGCACCCAGATGAATCACAGAAACATGCTTGCTATGATCAGGAGACTAACCTACAAGTTTTTGCACTGACTCAATAAATTAATTTTTGTCAAACTGGAAAGTTTAAATAGTGACCAAGGTGAGAAAGTGTTTGTGGCTCATCATGCACCTTTTGAACTTTTTGCCAGAGTTTACAGGCAATCTCAGCTTGCTGGGACTTGTCCCTGCAACAGTATGTCCTTCTGAGAGCATCCTGGCAGGCATCACACGGATGGTGCTGGCTTTTTGAACAGCTGCAGCTGGAAGGTGCACTGAGGGATGTTTACACCAGGTACCTTTGGGTGCTAAACTCAGCTGCTTGAGACAAGTGCTCCGTAGGCTCTCTGCATGCCAAGATACAGAAGTTGCAGCTATGGTAAAAAGTATTGTGGAGCCACAGAGTAAAGCAGTCAGTGCTGAGGCCCACTTCTTCAAATTTAACATATTTTATTTCAAACTCGGCCTGGTCAGTCCTACATGCCAAGCATGTGTACTCCTGTGGCTGTAGCACTTTGAGTGCCTTCCTGGAGTGCCTCCCCCAGTTTTGTTTCCTTTGGAAGCCAAGAGTTGCTCGGCCATGAAAACTAGTGTTGTAAGTGGGGACAATTGGGATAGTTCCTCCCAAAGTGCACTCCTAATCTGAACTGAAATACCACTGTAGCTCATCAAGAGGCTCTGCCAAAAGATGACTCACAACATCTGCTCTGAGCTGCTCTCTGGAAGTACACTGGCTAAAGAGGAACGTAAGGGAAACTATGCCTAAATGTCACCGGCCCGAGCTGACATGAGCTGTCCTTCCTTTCTTCCTTTCCTTCCCTGCCCTGCCATCCCCCACATCACTTAGATCATTCTTCCATTTCAGCTTTTTGTAAATGAAGAAACAGTTTTAGTTATTGGTTTGAAAGGCTTCTCCTGTCATCCATTGTCTATATTTTGTGGTGTGTATATCTGGTATCCAGCTTTTCCCAGTTACATCAATATACTGTAATTAGGATGTACAGTAGAAGTTTGGGAATTAAGTTAAATCAAGCTCACTTTTAGCTCTTGATTTTTCTGGCAAAGTTACGATGGAAAATCAAAGTTTCCATTTCCTAATTTAGAAAAAAGGACAATCAAGTAAATGTTCAGAAAAAGTGCGTCTGAATTATTTTTGTTTTTTTCTTATGGAAAAATTAGAGAAGGAGTTGGGTATTTGGGACACAAATACCGATTCATTGTGTACTGTCCTCATTTTCCCCATGAAAAGTGCAGTTGTAAAGAAAAGCTCTAGTGGGCTCACATGCTAATTTTTCTCATTGCCTCTTTAACTTACACAGATTTTTCAAATATTGACTAGGCTTTGAACTTGACCTACTTAAGGCACTGGATATGGTTTTCACTTAAACAAACGCCCCTTCAGATCATGTCAGTATTATAAAGGGGCCTTGCAGCTACTGTGAACGTTGAGAATATCAGCATCTTAATACTCCTTTATACTACTAGACATATTGTGAGGGAAGTCAGCTGTTCTTCTCTTGTTCACATAGCTTTCATGGCTTTGTTTTCCTCAGGACTGGTTTATACTAACTGGTATGAAATTGAATTTGTTCCCAAGTCTGACCTGCTGATCACCTGCATGTTGAATCCCCCAGAACAACCTTCATCTTGAGCTGTGCCTGAAGCGAGAAACTTTTTCTTGAGGCAGTGTTGGAGGCTGAGGAGGTCACAACTCCCCTCTGTGTCCTCTCCTCGCCTGCAGCAGCAAACTTGCAACTCATCTTCCTTCTGTAGCTCCTCTCTCCTCTCAGCTGCCTGTCATTTGGCCTGCTCTATTTACTCTTCATTGTTCAGGGAGGCATTTTGTGCTTTTCATGCAATATCCTCAGGTTTCTGATTATGCTCCATGGGCAAAGAAGCAAAATACAATTCAAAGTTTGCCTGGTGTGAAAACTCGAAGACGTCTGCTGACAGAAAGAAAGAAAAATGATACAGTGTTGTGGCTTGCGTGGATTTTTGAAATGGAGACTTGCATGCATTTTTGATATATAAAGTCCTTTTCCTTCTATACAGTTTCACAAGGAATACCCCTGCTGTCAAGAGTATTCTCAGCTCACCTGAGAAGAACAAAATAAATTATCTTTGCAATAACAAAGGTTCAGTCACCCAAGAAGAAAAAAACCATATCTTTTCCACTTCTGCAAAATCAGAGTACTCCAGACTAAAAAGAAAAGGAGAATTTTAATATCAATAACTATAAAAAAGAAATATTTTACCTTCTTTATCAAACCAAGACTACTGCAATGAAACTAAACATCATCTAGGATGTTGGAGTACAAATAGAACAGGGAGAGTGAGAAGGGGCAGAGCTTTATCCTTCATAAGTGGGAGGGGTGGCTTATGGGCTGGGGGTTTGCAAAGGAAAGCAAACCCAGGGACCCAACGAGGGCTGAAGAAGCAGGACCTGTGCATTGGCCCCATGGCAAAGGAAAGAGGGAGGTGGCTGTCACATAGCTCTGGCTCTCAGTTGGAGAGTGGTGACAGGTAAAGGAGGGCTACAGAAGAGCAGATGGGCAAATTTAGATGGGGAATGGGCCATGCCAGTGAGTGACTGGCCAGTAAAAGACAGAGCAGCTTTGCAAGTGAGGGTGGAGTTTTGTACCCTTATCTGTTGTGTCTCCCTAATCCATCTCGCACCTGCTCAGTCCCAGTCCTTGCTCCCTCCAAGTCTCTCTCCAACCCGAAAGGCTGCAGGATGCAGAGTCTCACGGGTGCCCTGCTGCCCCCGAGACAGCCAAGCGGGGACAGGTTCCTGCGCTGCTGTGCCAGAGGGTGCCACGATGCTCACAGGGATGCCTGTGTGCTGCACGGCCCCCTGGGGCACTGACAGCACCACTGCCGCGCTGTCACAGCACGACCACCGGCCCCACGCCGCGACAGCTGACTGGTGCAGAGAGCCTTCACCCATCAGCTGAGTGTTGTTTAAGTCTTAAACTCATGTGTGCTGTAACCAGATTCTTTTATTCAGCCTGACGAAAAATATTCTGTTTGATGTTTTCACAGACAGCATCTTAAGGCGTTACTTCAGCGCTGCCCTTTCCGAAGTCATTATTACTCATTAGGTATATTGTGCAGAAAGCAAAGTAGGTCACGGATGAAAAGCCCCATCTTAGCGAGAGGCACCGGTATTGCACAAAGCTATTTTCAACTTTCATGAGATAAAAAATGTTTTCTGTAGGATGAAAGCTGTCACTGCCAACTTACAAATGAATGCCAAGTATGTAAAAACTTTCATTTTGGATTCCCAGGCTTTCATATGTTAAATGCATTGTTTTAGAAATTCATTTCAAAGATAATTCCTGCTGTATAACACACATTTGCTGGCTCACCAGTAGGGTGTGTGCTGAGGACAGGTACTCAGCTGATGTAACACTGTAACTCCATCAAGACAGGACCATTTCACCCCATGGGGATCTGTCCTCAAGAGTTCCTAAATGGGGAGCAATAGGGGAGGGGGTCCAGGTGGATACCTGACAACCTGGAGCTTGGGCACTGGAAAAATCCCTCATAGCCCTACCTATTTTTGCGTGGCACTGAAAGAGTGAATTGGCATCTGCAGTCTGAGATGACCTCTAAAACCAAGACGACAACTTCAATAGCAGGACCTCATTGCACGTCATTCTTTCATCATCATTGTTTTGCATTGTAACCCATTGGTTAAAACAAAGATTTAATTTTTTTTCGACTGCTTCTCTGCCTTTTATTTTCATAACACTTGGAGATTTCAAATAAATACTTATACTTTCTGCAATGATCCTTAATCTCTTTAAATTGTTTGGCATCCCTCTTCTGGCCCTCAGTTTAACAAAACACCCAGCGAATTCTTTTTTTTTAATCCAGTTTCCACAAGGACTTACACATGGGATTTGAGTAGAAATTAAACTGCACTTTTAGTATGTTCCTTCATCAATAGACCATGTCTGAAGCACCTGCAAATCTTAGAGAGATAATTAATAAAATTATACTTTCAAGATATTACTGTATAAAATAAGTTGACATATATGGTGAGAGAAATGTTGTTTTTTTGGTGTAATCACCTTGCTGTACTGATGAAAGTCTATTACTCTTTTTATTAAAAATGTGGATATTATAGTTGAAATTAAATCCAATTTTTCTCTTTAAACCAATAATTGCTTAAAAATAAAATGTAAAATATGACAACATAAGGGAAAGTCGAAGTTCATTATCATATGTTAGAATAATATAAATTACAGTAAAAGTAACAAACTATATGATTGCAGTCATGGTTTTGAAGAAAGACATCCTACAACTAGGGGAAGATATTTGGTAAAGTCTTGGAAGTGGGGTTTGGTACTGTGACAAATATTTTTTTAATCAGAGGTAATTTCTACTGTAAGTACAAATGGAACATTTTCTGATTTACATTTTTTTTCAAGTAGCTCTGGTCAAGAACTAGATCATTTAAATTGAAAGCCAAGTACTCACTTAAAAACCAAAAAAAAACCCCTAGTGAGTAAAAGCTAATGTGAAAGGATGAAAGTACTAGTTCTAAGATAAGCAAAAGGTAGGTGACCATAAATAATCAATTTAATTAGACAAAGAGAAATGTTACCTCCTCTGTTTATTAAAACTCTTTAGTTGATCGAAGTGCTATAGCACATTCACTTTGTCCCACACATAAAGAGCGTCTAAGTTAGTTTTACTGAGAGGATTCAAACAATAACAAAGCATTGATTTCAGGTATTTTAATTAATTCCATTTTCATTTAAATTGAAGTAAGAAGGAGGCATCATCTAATAAATAAGAGAAGCTTTGTCTGGCATTTCAAAATTAAGTGCCTCACAAATAAAGGGTCTGAATAAATATTTGTAAACCACAGCTACACAGATAATTTGATGTGGATTTTGTTTACTTTCTAGTTGTGCAAAAAGAAATATAAATGCACATCAATTATTTAGTACAGGCCTACGTGTGGGGAAATATTCTAGAAGTATAAATTTAAAACAAGCAGCAAACAAGGATTAGCCATTTTCGGTTAATGAGTGAAATCATAATTAGAAACAATTGTTTAAATGATTTGGATTCAAATCAGTATCTACAACCTGTAGGTATCCATGAGTCTATTATACACTATTCCAGACACATAAAAGCAATTACCTGCTAATCAATTGAGCAGCGAGGACCACACATGGAACCAGGAGGCTTGACCTCCATTCCTCCTCCTACTGTAGACCTCCTGTCTGCGCCAGGTGAATTATTTGACCCTTCAAAGGACCACAAGCTGTCCTGGCCAGAACAAGATATTCAGGTCCATGATCTTAGTAGGCACCCAGATCCACCTTGGTATTAAGTAGGGATGTGCTACAGTGCTTTAATGTACACGGTGACCTCTGTTGCTGCACGCACCATTTGGTTGATTATCTTGTCATTTCAGAAAAGTTTAATCTAAATCAGGCAGGACAATATATAGGATGTGCCTGGCTTGTAGTTCTTTTTTTTTTTTTTAAGATGCCATATCTGCATTCAGGTTCTCGAGTTGCCCAGAAAAGATATAATGCCAGCCAAAAGGAAAGTTGAAGAAGTGCAAGGAAATTATTGTATGGATGATAAATAATAAATCTTAGCTCCAAATTTCTATGCTTGCTTACATACATTTTTTTAATGCCTCTAATCACCAAAGGCCTTTTGTTTGTCAGATGTTTCTGAGAACTAATGTATCATGAAGGATTTCCAAGGATTTTCAAGGTGCAGCAGATTTCTTAACCACTGACTCTGAATTTCCTCAAATGGACTTTTCAAGGTGAGAGGAAATACAAAACTCTGATGCAAAAAATAATAATAAAAAAAAAGTAAGAGAGATGAAAAAACTAGGTGCCATACTAAAACAGTACAAACCAAGAAATTCAAGAAATTCTAATAAAGCCAATAATGTGAAAAAAACCCACAAACCAAAACCAGCCATGCTTGATTCTTTGATCAGAAGAGAAAAATGTGTAAAAAAACCCAGATTTGTTTGACAGCAAAAAACCCACAGCTCTATACCAAGTAAGGTAGACTAAGAGGAAACAGATTCAGAAAGCCTGAAAGCAAAGGCTTCCACTGGTGGGTCTCCATTGGGGTGGCCTGGAAAAGGCAGATGGCAGAAAAGGAACCAGACAAGCAGCAGACAGGGATGCAGGGTGTGCAGAGGGGTTGTCTGCAGGGTACTGAGGAGCTCCCTCCACGCCCAAGGGAACAGGACTCGTTTTCCCTCCCCACCACATGTTCCCCACCATGTATAAGAGGAAAGCTGCAAAGCAGTCAAAGGTGCAAGGCTGCAGGTGGAAATCGCCAGTGTTTCATCTATAAAGTCTTCTTGGAAAGTGAAATGTCGAAAATACTCCAGGCTTTTAGGGGGATATAGGAAGATGAAAACCATTTTAAGGGTTAAGTGACTTGGTCAGTAATAGAAATAAGACTGCGAGGAGTTCTGAAAATTATTTGCAGTGTACTCAGGCACACAGAAATTGTAATATATGTTGCTCTTTGAGTGTGAAAACCCCACCATCTATGTAATGTGATTTGTGAGGTCTGCACACAATATGAGGGGATGAATGTATTTCAGTCTGAGATGTCCTCAGATCTGCATTTTAGCTTGCAGTGCTTGAACTGCAATGCCTGTTTAGAGAAAATGATATGCAGGGAGTGTATCGAATGGACGACTGTGCTAAACCTCTTCTTTTTCAGCAGGTTGGGGTTTATTTCCTGTCAGGTTTGCATTAATGACCCACTGACCTACTTTTCTGATCCACCTGGCAGAACTCTGCATCCCTGAAACCTGAGACTTTGTCTGCTTCGCAGATTTGTTTTGGTTAGGTTTTTTGACAGAAACCATTAGGAGAGTGACACTGCAGATAAAAATGAAATGTGCTCTGCTCTTTAGTATTGCAAGTGTATTTTTATTTAATTGTGTAAGTGTTATCCATCATGATAGAATTGTCTGTTCCTTTTTTTTTTATGGTTCTGTGTTTTATAAGGTTTTCTTCTCCCTCCCTCATATTACAAAGAAAAATGAGCTGTGTATGTTTATCCGATGATTTCTAGCCATTGCTGCTTCTTCACCTGCTGCAGAGCAGGAGTAAAGGGAAAAGGCAGGCATAATGGATCAGTGAGGAAAAGACATCTTCTGCCTGTCTTAAATCATCTACTTTATAGAGAAGCTTAAATTGCTAAAATAAAAAAAGCTCCTTGGCAGCTCAACAACTGCATATAAAACAAATCATATTTTTCCATGAATCGTAAATGTCACCATCTCAGATAACATTTATGCTTTCATAGAAATAGGAACTTAATTTTCCCCAGTCATATTATTAACTTACTTTGGTGAATCAGATCACCTACATTAAAACAGAAGCAGCCGGTGACTCAGAACAATGATACGTTTAAAGATCAAGCACAGCATTTGCAAGTATGAAGCTGCACGCAGATGGAACTGCTTCTTTGAACCACCAGATAAAGACTGATCTGTTAAAATCTTTCTAAAAATGGGCACCAAATGCTTGTTGTCAGACGTGACTGACAGTGCTTGTCCGAAGCTGAAATGAAGCTGGGTTTGCCTATTCATTCAGTGGGTGCACAGTGACAGCACAGAAGAGAAGAAGAGCTGCAATGGGCTGTGATGTGACAAGTTGATTGCCGTTGCTTTACTGTCCTTTTATAATTCTTCTAGTTAGAAAAAAAAACCCAAATAAATACCACTGTTATTGCAATACGTCATTTAACATGTCAGCCTTTCTGGTTTGCTCCCTCTCCCTCTGGCTTGGTGCTTGTATGGCCCGTCAAGACCCTACCTACGCAAACCTGTCATGACCGTATAGAAAGCCAACCTTGCACTTGTAAACGCCAGCATCTTTATTGCAGTTTGTCAGAAGGAGAGTTAAGATGGGAGGAAAAGGAAAGACTAGCCCAAGGCCGCACAGAAAAATGTGCAGATTCACTGCAGTGCCATGACCACAACCCTCTCATGCCCTCTTCTCCACGCATGTGCACTTCATTTCTTTAAGAACTGGGGGATATTGACTAGAATTTGTCCGCGGTGTTCTGTAGGCAGAAGCAGTCTTGCTTTCCCTGTGCTCTAGAGTAGCCACATGTTCAGTACAGCTCCAAGGATGCTCAGAGCCCTCTCAGGACTTGCTTGCCCTCTCCTGTAGACATACCCCTAGCAGGAATGTCTTTGCCCCTCATGGGGCAAAGACTGGCCTTACAATACTCAGTGAACTCATTTCCCATATCACGAGCTCAAACAATTAATGTTACTTATCTCAGTCCTGGCAAGTAAGGGGCTGATAGTTGCATGTAAGATAGATATTACTTGATTATAATTTAATTTCTGCTTGACTCATCTCCACTTTAGAGTAAAGAAATGATGATGGTGACATTGTGAATCTTTTTCATGCAAATATATTTACTTTAAAGCAAAAGAGCTCAGAGAGTGACACAGATACTTTGAAAATATGAGCTGCAAGCCTAACTCACATAAAAATATATGTGTGAATGATGATAGCAAATTCTGCATGCCAGCAAAAGACTGGGTGATGGTAGTATTTCATAATTATACCTAAATAAAAGGTTCTCTGTTAGTTTAGGGGTTGTGGCATCTAATCTGCACTTTCATGAATTAGTGGTTTTCACCACATGACAGAAACATTTTGATACATTAATGAAAGCAATGGAAAACATATCTCACTGTCAGATCCCAAGCTGAAAAAAAAAGTGATTATATTTTCTCACCATGTATATTCCAACCATTCCAACTACATGCATATTCCATTTCATCCTAGCATCCCTTACTCATGAAAGCAAAATGAATCACAGGGTAGACTGTACAGCTATTTGATTCAGTCCCTGCAGATTGCACTGATTTTTGCAAAACAATAAACATTATTTCACCAGTATGTTTTGCTTGAAAGATGTTTATATTGCACTTATTAGACTTTGGAGCTGTTGAGTTAGGAGCTATCTTTTAAGGCAAGTCTGTAGTGGTTTGTTTTTTTGTTTCTGCTTTTTTTAGGATGCTAACTTTGAATAAAACAATATTACAGATATCCCTGAATTCAGCCATGGCTCTTCCAGAAACCCAAAGACCCCAGAGTGCCCAAAACTGACCTCAGAAACTTGGAGACACAAATGATGGCCTGATGGCCCTATTTATTTATTTAACTGTGCAGCATTAGAACACTGTGACCCAAGAACCAGTCATCAAAGAAAGACATGGAATTGTTGAATGCTTGTGAGTTGACCCCGTTTGAGTCTTTATCTCTATTCAAGTGCTCTATGGTTTAAAAAAAATAAATTCAGTCTAATACAAATTTCAGTCATCTGAGATTCTTTTCAGCAATTTCTACTAGTTCCATCCATCTCAGTCTTCATTGCTTGCCTTGGGGTCAGTAATGGGTTATTTTTCAGCCTAAGTCTGTGTTGAGTGCCCTAGAGAGACTGCTGCTCTGAGAGTGGAGAGGATCTCTTCCTTCTTCCCTCCTGGACTTTTATTTGGAGGGAGAAGAGATTTGATCCATTGTAAATATTGCTTTATCATAGAAAAGATAGTTATGATTGTATATGATGTATTGTAATATTTGGGCCTCTGGTGGTCTAGTGGTTAGGGTGCAGGACTCTCACCGCTGCGACCCGGGTTCGATTCCCGGCCCCCCGGGCAGATGGAGCTCGTCAGCCCTGTAAGGCAATCCATCTAAGAGAAGGTCACTCTAAACAAACCTAC